TTACACTCACAGGTTCTATCTCATCTTTTGTGCTTGTCACAACATGAGCATAGATTTTTTGTTTAAAAATTCCTGACTTAGATCTAGTCACCATAGGATGTTCTGTTATCAGTTCACCTTCTGATATCTCAGGCTCATTTCTCAGTTCTCTTCCCAGTTCTGAAGGTTCAGGCTGCTCATCAGCCTGCATGTTACTTGGCTCGGCTTCTTCCATTTGTTCAATATCAGTACTGTCATCAGTTATCCTTATTCCTTCATTCTCATTTTCAGCATGGGACTCTAGTGCAGGTTCTTCTGTAAAGGGTACTATATCAGTAGATCTTGGGAAGTTGTGAGGATTCAGTTCAAAAGGTAAATGGTACTGACTAGTGGAAGGGTATGTGTTTTGAGATATTTTGTTAAGGAAACTCTTTTGGAATGGAAACGATTTTTCATCAAAAATAACATGCCTTGGAATGTAAATTCTACCACTGGATTTTGAACACTTGAAACCTTTGTGAGATGTACTAGGTCCTAAGTAAACACACCTCTGTGAATGGAAATCAAATTTATGCTTTTGGTATGGTCTTAAACATGGATAACAGGCACAGCCAAAGACTCTGAGTAGGTGATAATCAGGATTGTGTTTAAAAAGAAGCTCATATGGTGATTTATGCTGGAGAGTAGGGCTAGGCATCCTATTTATCAGATGAGTTGCAGTTAAGAACGCTTCCCACCATAATAAAGAGGCATATGTGCTTGGGATAGGAGAGTTAGCCCAGTCTCAGTAACATGTCTGTGTTTTCTCTCGACCCTACCATTTTGTGCAGATGTATGTGGGCAAGATTGTCTTAACTCAATCCCAGATTCAGCAGCTATCTTGCCTAGACTTCTATACTCTCCCCCCATGTCAGATTGAATGATTTTGATTTTTCTTTCAAATTGATTCTCAACAAGTCTCTTAAACTGTGTAAAATAATGAAGGACTTCTGATTTGTGCTTTAAGGGGTAAATCCAGGTATACCTAATACAATCGTCGACAAATAAAACATAGTACTTAAAACCTGAGGTAGAATTAATGGGGGATGGTCCCCAAACGTCTGTATGTATCAGATCAAGTGGCATTTTAGCATGAGATGATGATATTTTGAATGGTAAGGCACGCGACTTTCCTAATTGACAAGCTTCACAGAACGGAATTTTTTCATTACTGATAGTTTTATATTTATTACAAGATTTCAGAAAACAAAGTAACACAGGTATAGGTGGATGCCCTAATCTTCTGTGCCAGATTTCAATCTGTGACTCTAAGACATTTTCTCTAGTGGGTTTAGCAAACTCAGGTAGACTTGTGTTGAGAATGAACTGGGATTTGTTTGACTGATGATTGGTGGACTCTGTTTTTGGAATTCTTGTGCCATAGTCAGGAAGGTTCAGCTGATATAGTCCTCCTTTAAGTTTCCCCTACACCAGAGCTTTCCTGGTTGATAGATCCTTCACAACACAATTATTAGGATAAAACTCAACTGAGACATCATTATCAGAGGTTAATTTGGAAACACTTATAAGATTTTTCTTTATTTTAGGCACGTGCAGGAGTTTTTTTAAAATCAGTGTTTTCCCAGTTTCAATATCAAACATCTTTGAGCCAATATGAGAGATTTGCAGAGTAGTACCATTACCCACAACCATTTTTTCTTTACCTCCATATTTTTTTGCATCAGCAACATTTTCTTTCTTAGTAGTAACATGGTGACTGGCTCCAGAGTCAGCATACCAGACTTGATCCTCAACTGAGGTTGGATT